CTGCTTTCTCAGGAGCACAGACCTCACCCACCCATGAGAACCAGCCCCATCTTCCCCTTGGAATGCTGGGAGACAAGAGGGTGTCAACCAGGGATGGGGCTGTGGGGCAGGGCAAGAAGGGCAGAGATGCCCTGCAATACGGTGGGGATCAGAATCCCTCCTTTTGCCACTCCCGCTGTGTAACCTGTCTCCCCCAAAGTGCCTTAGCCGGACAGTCAGGGAGGAGATTGTGTTGCTGACTCAGGGGCTTCTCCCTCCTCAGTTTCCCTTCTCCTCTGACCTTAGTTTGCTGCATCAGTCTAGTGGATTTTGTCTATTTATTAAAAAACATTTGAAGACAAAACCTCTGGCTTCTTTGCTAAGTGCTGCTCCCTCCTCCCCAGGGTCTCCCCTACTCTCTGGTACCCCCACAGCTCAGGATAAAGGTGGTGGGGGGGAGAGACACTCGGGTGGCCAGGCAGGGTTGGAGTACCATGGCTTCTGTGACTAGTCCCTGGGGCACATAGGAGTAACCTAAGGAGGGCAGGGGGACCTTTCCCATGGGGACAAGGGAAGGGATGGGAGCTGTCCTAGGAAGGGGGTGGGTGAAGTCTGGGAATTTTTAGTTAAGGAATGACAGAGCATAATGTTTTCCTCCCTCTAGTCAGGGTAGAAATAGTTTTTTTTTTTTTTTAAGAGCTAGATATTCCCCTCAGGCAGAGGGAGGGAGGAACTAGGGATGATGGTGGTAGGGGAAGCTTCTCTCATTCTTGATTAGATCCCTCTCAGTAGAAGACAGATTTGGCAGTGGGTGGCTTTTTCTGACTGGGGACAGGGGAGGGAGCAAATGACCCCCCCCATGGAAGTTTATTTCACAGCCTTCCCCATGATGTGGGGCCCAACAGGTAACCATTTGAGGGGAGGGGGCTGTCGTTCCATTTGGATCTCAGAGAACTGGGCATTCTCCAGGTCCTTCCAGGTCTCTCTGGTAAGGTAGCAGCCATCCCCAATGTGCTTCCAGGTGGGCTCAAAAACTTGCTGCCACATGAAGGCCTGGCTTCCTCGCGGATAAGCCACGTGCTCCCAGAATAACAGCACTCCTCCCTGGGAGGGAGGAGAGGGTCAGTGTCACTAGCTGCTCCATCCTGCTCCTTCCTTCTATCATCACCTCCTTCCCTCTGATCAAGCCTGGCCAAATCTCTTAGTGAAGTGGGAGCAGCTGGTCTGAGAGTTTATGGAGCAAACTGCTGCTCTGACATTTTCTCATTTTCTGCACCCCCTGCTCCTACCCTCCCTCAAGGGGCCTGTGAAGAACCTCTTGTAACTGAGGGGGAAATGACTGCTGAGAGATCTTTAAAGAAGGTCCAGAGGGCAGACAGAGGG